TCTCTCTCTCTCTCTCTCTCTCAATCATGGCCATGCAGCACACACAGAACGGCGGCGGGTACAGCCACGACGGGCAGACGATGGCCATGCAGTGGCATGCACACACAGAACGACGACGGGTACAACCATGACGGGCGGCCGATTTCCAAGGGGGAACTCCGAGGCGAGGCTGGAGCCTTCCAATTTCGAAAGTGGCCAATTTCAAAGTCGGGATGCTATCCCGAAATATGTTTCTCGCCGTTCGCGCTGAAAAAAAATTGCACCTATGAAAAAAACAGCTCTGCCGGTCTGCATATTTCCTGGGAAGAAGGGGAGGGGGGGGAAGGTGGATATTATGTACGCTTACCCGACATAATTGCTTACCCGTGCATACCCATCTGATTCTTTTTTTCACCACCCTATAACGGTTGTACCCATGCTTTTTTTTTTTCTTGGCCGCCCGTACCTGCGGATTTTCCCTTATCACCTCCAGTACCTGGCCATGCCTGCCCGTGATCTCCATGCAGTGCAACCGTGCCCGCCCTGAAATCCACGAATAAAATTTATGCCTGCCCATACCGATGCCCCCCTCTGGAAGGGTACCCGTACCTGCCCATAACCTGCCGGTTACAGTTGGGTACGGTCGGGTACAGGCAACGGTTACCCAGTTGCCACCTCTGGTTAGCACACCTCTCGACTGTGTTACTACCTTGGTAGTGGTAGTTTCTTTGCGTATCGCGCCCTACGACGATTGACAACATCTTCTGTTTAATCTTTGACTGCCCTTGCACAATTTTCACACCTCCCTCCCCTCACCATCACCCTCACCCTCTTGCCACTGAAAGCAGCGCTGCCAGTGCCGGCCCCTCCTCTTTTTCCAACATCCACTTTCTTTGATTGCAGAATTTTCCCACCTCCCTCCCCTCACCCTCACCCTCTCGCCACTGAAAGCAGCCCTGCCAGTGCCGGGCCCTCCTCTTTTTCCAACATCCACTTTCTTTGACAATTCATCTTCAAGGATTGGACTCTGCAATTCAAAATTCACAACGGTGACATTGTAACAATTCCAGCTGCGACCCTGGGAGTAAGTAATTGTTCGATCTTCAAAAAACTCATCACCAGAATGAGATTATATTACTTCAATTTCACACAAGTCTCAAAAGAAAAAAGAGGCAAATTGTGCTCAAAACCTTTTACACACACAAAGAAAAGTCGTAGCTGATAATTCAAAAAAGAAACTCTCCCCCATTATAACCATTATACCTCCCCCCCCCACGCCTCTGCCCTCGTTCTCTCTGACAAAAAGGTAGGTTGGTTTGTGTCATCGAAAATAACTCTCCCTAACTCACAAAAAAAACAAAACAAAAAAAAACAACAACTCAAGAAACCCTAAACCCGAAACCCAAGTTCAGATGGTCATCACAGATGATCATCACATGTGATCACGTCAAAGTACAGATATTAGAAATGTATATTATAGAAACTTACACAACAACATAATAATAATATATCAAAATACAATACAATAGATTATTGTAAACCATAAATAAATATACATTACAATATATATTAATAATAGGTCGTTGTTTGAAAAAAAACATAAGTACTAAATTATGTGTAAATACCAATATTACACAATCTCTCACCACCTCTCACCACCTCTCTCACTTGCAGTTCTAGATTTCCAACATAACCTGCCACAATCATCGTAAGCCAAGTTCGGACGCACAGGCAATGCGAAAATGAATATGGCGGCGGCATCATGAGCAACATCAGCAATGTTGCATAGAAACTTTCAAAATTTTTAAAAAAATATAACAAGGTGATAAGCTCTTTTATAATATCATCATAGGTCATCACCAAGGATGGTATTAATTTTCATATAACTATAAAATTTCTCCTATCCAGTACTACTCGCACATGGGCGACTCCTGTTGTGCAACGCGCCAGAGCAAAAATTCACAAGGGATTGATTGCACTCTGATGATGATGTGCGAAGAAGAACGGAAAAGAATAGCCCTTCCTCTTTCTTCATCTCTGTTCCATGCAGCTACGTAGAACTGACGAAAGCAACACAAGGCTTCGCTGAGTTCACTCAGTAGAAGAACATGCTTGCACGCTACGAGATGATGGCCAAATAAAAAATATATATATATAAATATATATATAACCTTAGAAGCACCAACACAGGGAGTTTTGCAACTATTTCAGACAACAGAGCGGTACCATTTCGCGAAAATCTCTCTACCGTTTGCTGGGCCTTTCTCCCCAGGCGTCGCAACACTGATTACTACAGCCTGTGCAGACAGATGTGTCCTCCCTCCAGTAGCAAACCCTTCTCTCTTGCCCTTGGCATCTGCTCAACAGGCGACTGACGGAAAACGACAACAAATTAAACAACAGGGCAGGAGGTTCATTAACCAGCCCAGGGGCAAAGTACATACCAAAGGAGAAGGCAAGTAAGCGTTTTGTCGAGCATCCTAAGCCAACTGAGCAGACAAGAGAGAGGCGATTCGACACCCCACCACCAATCCTCGTGTTTCCCTGCAAGATGCCTCTTCTCTTCACCGCCCCCTCCCCCCCCTCCCTCCTTCCCGCCCTCCTGATGCGATTGCCACATCGCTAATGCTCACTCTTTGTTGTTGTCACCTCGTCTCCGCTGCCGTTTTCTCTTCCTCTTTCTTGTCTCTTTGTCTGCCCCACATTTCTGCCCTGGAATAGAATGGAAGCATGTATTCGGCGTTATGTCCTTGTCCTTCCCCCCTCCTCCCTATCCCTTCCCACCTCCCTCCTGCTCCTCCCTGCTTCTTGAACAAAAGACAGAATGATGCCTCCTCACATAGGTGCTTCTGCCAGCAAGCTCCGCTCGTCTGCAGGTCCTCCCATCTTCACCACCAACTGCCCCAAGCAGAAGACTGTGTTTGTCCCCGTCGACACAGTACTCGCCGCACATGCTCCACCTCCTTCCCACAGGCAAGGAAGCAATGCCACATGGCATTCCTTCCCTGTCTCGTGGCCATCGTCTTGAGCTTCAGGCTCCTGTCAAACACAACCACAGCGTGCACCACAGTGCTTGGGGTGGAAGCAAAGCCAAAACACCATCGCATTGTGTCGACCACGTCTCCTGTGCACACACACACACTGACAACATCACACGCGCTCCGATGCAGTCCATCCGCAAGAGAGAGAAAATTGAGGAACACTCACTGTTTCTTCGGAGAGCATCCGCAGCTTCCTTGCTCGCAGTTCCAACTTCGACGAGAATGCTCAGGCTCCGACTGCGTCGGCTGACCAAAAGAATGCTTCCTTCACTTGATCGTCCTTTTTCAAAAACAAACTCAACGGCTTTGCATGAGACTAAATCTGGGCAACAACTGTACTATGGTTTCCTTCAACTGTCGCTTGCTTTCAACACGTGTACTCCATCAAGATGATAATGCGACCCATCACACCTTTTTTTCTTCAAACCCCCTCTCGCTCCTCTATTGCTTCACAAGGCCTTTGCCCCAAGCAAAAGAGCAATGAATACACGGATGAAAATGCCAACTATGTCCTCCATTTGCTCTTCACAGCTTCGATCTACATGGACCTCTCACAAACCCAGACGCTTTGATTGATTTACGCCCGGGAGGAGAGAGAGAGAGGAGGTAATACTCTTCAGATCCCAAACTTTCTCGTGGGGAAAAGAAGGCAGCTACATCGCGATATAGAGATCATTTGCAAAAAAATAAAAATGAGCTTTTTCAACTGCACAATACTCGGAATACTGCATGTTTTTTCTTTTTTTTTGTCTTTTTTTCCCCCTTCCTTCCTTCCTTCCTTCCTTGCCTGGTTTGACCAGCTAGATTCAGCTCTTCGTCTGGGTAATGAAACTCACTAACCGGCCAAAAAGAGCGCCTTGCCGACTGCTCAGCCATTTCTATATCTTCTTCCTCCTTGGATCTTCTTCAATTCCCTCCTGTTTCTCCCGCCCTACTCCTTCCCACCAATTCCCTCCTGTTTCTCCCGCCCTATATTTCCTTAGAAGAGACTTCGCCTGACTTCGCCTGATTTCGCCTTCTCGCCCGCTCGGCCGTACAGCGGTCGGCTGTTAACCGATTGGTCGTAGGTTCAAACCCTGCCTGGGGACGACTTCATCCTTATAGATCTTCTTCAATCGCTCCTCTTTCTCCTTCCCCACTCCCCCGGCCTGACGGCCCAAGCCAAGCTGGGACTCGGACCACGGAGAGTCTTCATCTGTAATCTATTGTCAATCAGGGACCTATTTCCGATTCCTAACACTACGCTCTCCCATTGGATAAACCACCTCTACTACTCTCCAGTCAGCGACCGATTGGTCTGCGTCCTATTGCCAAGCTCCGGGAAAGACTGGATATGTTCTCCGCACTTAAAGCATAGCTGGAACAGGTATAACTACTAGTGTAGTAGTGTCTCATCGGTCTCTGTATGTCGACTTCTCTTTTGCGTCCATCAACGATCGACCGTCGCTTGCCATGGAGATGTAGAGAATGATCGAGAAACAATCCTTCCTTGCAATTATTGGAAAGTAACTCAAGAAAGGTCGCATCTGGAAAAAAAAAAAAAAAAGGTCATTCAAGAATGTGCTGACAACAAGGAGGGGTCCAAAGGAAAACGCCCCATCAACCTCTCAAAGGTGTTTTTCAGGTATTGAAGGACATATGCAGTGTTTCCTTTGCTGCATGCAGCAGCAGCAGCAGCAGGAGCAGTAGGAAAAATATCCACAGCAGGTGCCGTGGGATGGATGGAACGACCTGGGACTGCGGGACCGCACCATATCCTACACACTAGTTTGCCGAATCACAGCAGGAATTGAGCAAAAAAAAAAAGAAATGAAACAACAACAACAACAACAAAAAGAAAACAAAAGAAAACCTAAGTTTTCTAACCTATGCTCAATCACTTTTCTACTCAGCGCGCCTTACACTATCTCTCTCTCTCTCTCTCTGTGCTTCTCTTAAGAGAGCAGACTACGATGTTCAAATGTTTTGGAAAGACCTGGCTGGGACCTCCCCATGAGGTCCCATGCCAAATTGAGGGCAAATTTCAAATTTCAAATTACTGACGATCTAGTTAACCAATGACGTCGCGTTGACGCAAGCGAAAGGGCACGGCACCGTATGCGTTAGCGAGACGAAGGCACCTGGCACCCTTTCGAAGCTCACGCTCTACGTAATAAGAAACATGTCAAAAATGACATGACATACATGTGCTGCTGCTACTAAAAATGACATGACATACATCTGCTGCTACTTTGACTCTCTGCCCCTCTACATGGTGGGGAGCATTCCGCGTGAATATAACAGAGAAAGCTCAACCGCATATAATAGTGCTATAACTAGTATGTTATGGAGGCAAACCACAGAGAGGATCTGATTGCCAGAATGTTTCTATAGGAGGAGGCCTGTAAGCAGCAGCCTGCGGTCCGGGAGAGTGAAAGCGACCTCCATTCGAGCAATTGTCGTCACACAAGAAGAGGACAACAACATGCCATAAAGGATGAATTGAATCATTAACCAAAAAAATAAAAAGAACAGAGAAAAACAACAAGAAAAGAAAACACCAAAACTGGCTACATATGTATATATATATATTATATATATATATATATAGCCCTGCACATTTTCCCACAAAAGAAGTGACACATTTATCGCGGGAATAAATCCAAAAATTCCCAAATCCTATATACCTATTTGTGTCTAAAGACTGCCGTACCTCGAACAGCAAAACGTATGTTCTTGTTGTCATCTATGGAGGCATCCTCTTCGCCTCATGGGTGTAACAGATCGCTCCATCCTGCAATGCACGCCAAGATCGCTCCATCCCTGTTATACTTTGGAAGGGAGATTGCCTCCCTCGCTCATGACTGCTACCTACGACGACGGCACCATTGCTGCAGCCACAGATGTCGATCACGCCTTCACTCTGCGACATCAATCATCGCCACAGGGGCGTAGTAGGAGACGGCGTGCTTTGCAGAGCGGACAGGAAACAGCCCCGCAACATCATCCTCATGCCTCTGGTGAGTTGGTCCTCGCATCTCTGTGAGACACCCTTGGAGGGGTCCTCTCCGTATACCTCGTATGAGTTGGCCCTTGCTTCTTCTTAGGTTTACTATGTGGAGACCTTGCCCAAATCGCATGGTGGTCACGAGTGTGTGTGCACCATACTCCTACTAGCCCCAGCAAATTGCGCCCCCCCCCCCCCCCCCCCCCCCGCCCAGAGTGACAGCAATCCTCAAAGATGATCCATCCAGGCACACATCATCTACAATATAATCCTTTCAGGTCATCCAATGAACGAGCACGATGAAGGCTCCACTACTGGATGTACACAATGGAAGTCGACTTGCAGTGGCGATTCGTTTGCCGCCGTTGTCGCCATCATGGCTGTTGTCGTTTCGCAGAGCTGAATCACAATGCTCAACAAACCCAATCCAAAAACTCCAAAACATGTCGCACAATTCCCATCACTCAACCGGACAGCCTCGTTACCTTCACTCCAGTCTGAAATCTCAAATCATAATCTCCGACGACTACTGCACAGGTGGCCGAAGAGAAACTTGACAATTATATACGCTGCAACAACACGTACGAGAAAAAACGGAGGCAAATGAGGAAAACTGAGAATTTTCCTCTCAGAAAACAGCTGTAAGACCGTCCTCAACACAATCGGAACGACCGAGGGCATACTCACACTAGGACGTTTTCTACTACGCTCTGGACTTGATTGCAGTCAGATTCATCCGTGTCTGGGCGTACATGCAGTCGAACACATTTAGAAAAACTCACACTAGTATGAGGATGCCCTGAGAACAGCTGGAGAAGACCGTCCCTGACACGATCACCACAACTTGAGAATATACGTCTGGCAGCAGTTCTCCCAAAACACAGCTCCCTATGAAAGCTAGCCTCTTCATAGTTAAAAAAAAATAATTCGAAAATTTGAAATCCTGTTTATATTCACTACAAAGACATAGTGTCTTATCCTTCTCTTGCTGCCTACCAATTTTTCCGAATGGTTTAAACAAATGTTTAAACACCATGTAAAAAAAAACTAGATGACGTCCGCGGGAATGACGACACGATATATATTGTGTGCCCCGCAACCATGCATGATGCCCGGCACCATCGGATGGACCAAAGACGTGTCACCCAGCAACCTGGAATGCCAGACACCATCGGATGGATCGAAGATGTATTGTGAAAGACAATACCTGCGCCTTGCTGTGAAATCATCTACAGGAAACTAAAGGGAAAAAAAAAAAAAAACCCATCAAACTAAGATAAAGAAAACTGCATGGCCCAGGCTCCGGCAGAATCCCTCCTGAGGGGAAGCTTTAATCTTGACAAAGTATCGCCAGACTTGTCGAATCCTTGGAGCAGTCCAGCACAGGCAGAGTATGCTGGGACTTTGTCAGCGTATAGTAGTCAATGGACACCAGTCGATGGAAACAAATCGGCGCTCGATCATTCTCGGGCGCCGAAGAATAATCCACGGAGATCACAGTCTGGTAGACTTCTGCTCTTCATTCCGAGTCTCCCCCATATTTTTATAAATAAAAAGTATTCTCAGGAAAATCGATGGCTGGCTTTCAATCAGGATCAGTGAAAAAAGAACAAAGAAAACAACGACCAGTGACCAACTTGCATTCCGCTTCTGCAGCCCCCGTCTGATCCCGCTCCTCATTAGACATCCCCCACCCAACCCCAACTGCCTACCCACCACTGCGGTAATCTTTTCGTTTGACCACAGACCAGATAGAAGTAAATAAATAAAGGACCAATCCGAAGAACAGATACTACACTCGATCTTACTTGGCAAAAGGGCGGTGTAGTTTCTGGACGTACCCTTTCTTTTTCTTCGCACAGGATGCAAACTGCTCAACACACAACTTACTCTGAAACAACCGCATACGACTCCAGGGAAGCAAACTTTGCGAAGCAGTGTCGTAACCTTTTGCTCTTACGCCAATCAATGTTCAACCCTCAACGTTCGCACGGCATCCCTGAAAAGACAGCATACAGGTGCATCGACAGGAAAAACACCAGTTAGATCGTTATGAAGTTACTTTATACGTTTAGGTAGATCATAGACGATTCTCCTGAGAGGATAGACACTCCTTACTTAGGACTTACTTAGGACGTATCCGACATGACACCTTAGCACCACACCGACAAATCGTTGGCACATCTGTCAGGAACATGTGTGGTCCCCTCGATGCATGGGAATTTTCGCAGGGCTCACTGCAAAAAAATAAAAATAGAATTCTCGTGACAGTTAAGACACGCATTCCTACCTGCCGTCTTCCGCCAAATAGAACACCTGGTAATTAGAGTTGTATTGGGTGGAATTGAAAGGATTTTCACTTTCACTTTGCAGACCCCAACCCAAATCTGACTTCCAGGGTCGAAGTCCCCAAATTGAAAAGAGGACGAAGAGGCCGAAACAGAAAAAGATCGCGTCGCGTCGGGTACCCCTCAGGACAGACAGGTCAGAATTCAACCGGTACCCGGCCTTAAAGTCGAGTTCCAGCGCTCCAAGAAAAGTGTGGAAGGTAGCGGGGCTCAAATTTTCAAACTGCAAACAGGCCTCGGTCGACCGGTACCAGTCAGAGTCAGGCCCAGGCCAAGTCAACCCAAGGCCAAGCAAAGTCGAGGCCCAGTCCAGTCATCATAAAAGGACCGGCTCAGCGACATTCAGACAAATTGTTCACTCGTGAGAAGGTGGAAGCGCTGTTGGTTGCTTGTGCGCTATCGCTATCGCAGGTTCACTGTGCAGCAGAGAGCCCCGCTGGGCGGCCCACTTGCACGTTATTTCTGGAGGCAGAGAAAAAGGGAAGGTATGCTCCTGTGCATTTCTCTTCAGACCTTCATACTCCTGCTCAGTTCACTTCCGATCTTCAGCTTATACAGTCTTTGTGTCCGTCCTTCGTCTTCATACTTCCGTTCATTTCATTTCTGATCTTCATATATTCTGTTCTCTTAACGATGCTCATTAGTATGTATTTGTTAGTAGAACAAAGGGAGTGGAGGGGAGGGTGGAGGGAAAGGGATAGAAGGTGGAGTTCTATAGGAGTACGGGGCAGGGGAGGTGGAAGGGCAGGAAAGAAATATGTGAAGGGCAGGATAGAGTATGACATGCAAAGGGCAGGTGAGAGGTGTATGACGAACTTCACAGAATTCTAAACACTCACCGCTGGAACAGACTACTCTAGAAGGGCACAGGGTTGCAAAAAAATATTTTTTGGTCGAGCAGTTATTGCCTATGCTAAGTGGCCACCCCTACAGACCGGACAGGACCGGTTCGGGTGTGGACTATGGAAGCACCACATCCAATTTTCGCAGTCACAATTGCTGCATCGAAAGGCGCACCGCGGACAGATGTCACAGGCTACTTGGCTCCTATACGCTAGGAACACAGAGGCACGTCGACCGCAATTATAGAGGCATTGCCGTTCCAGCCCGTCTACAAATTGGACATGACATGTCAGGGTGCCGTACATGAGTATAGTACTAACTGTCAATGTACGTATGGAAGCAAAAACTTGCATGGACTATCCCTTCATAATCCTCACGGCACAAGGCATGCGAACCACATGCTAATTGAATCTCTGGCAGGTGATCACAAAGCGGCATGGAGCATCTTTGTTGGGTTTCCTCAGTATTCATTCCTTCTCTATGCGCAGGCGACGACAGGGAGGATCGATCCAAAGCAAGGGCGTTCCGCTGCTGCAGGATTTGGTCCACAACAGCTCGCCCTGGTAGTGATAAACTATCAGCACATCGCTCCGCAGGTGCTTCTTATAGAAGTCTATTTTCCTCCTCGGGCTGCTGTGTCTGTCGTTCATCTGGCAAGGAAGGGGGAGATCCATCTGCAGTTGTCGTAGGTGTATGAACAACGCCGCGTGCGGGACAAGCTAGGAGAGGATGTGGAGGATGATGGCACCGGGGATGGTCCACGCAGTAAAGACACATACTTTCTATGACAGCTTCCTGGAAACATTGACGACACATGGAATGTTGCTGACATGTCAATGATGTCATTAGTATGCAAGGCTGACATGCACAGTTATTTAGGCACTGCAGATCAAGACCACAACGGCATGCTGGGCAAGTTATGAGGGGGTGGGGGGGATGAGCACAAGACAAGGGATCACAGTTTTCGTGGGAGAGGCTGGCAGCGACCATCCCTTCATAGTGTTCAGAGAAGAGGCTACGCCGCGTGCATGCCAACCAAACTGTAGCTGTGTGACAACACAATGGGAGGACACAGCCACCATCCCCTGGAGAGGTCCCTTCACTGTTTGTAGTAGAATCAGTCGGATTGCTCTCCGGGGGGTGCAGTGAGTGCAAGTGCTCATCGACATACTGGTCCTGATGGCGAGCCAAACCGAATGATTCTCCACCACTTGGTGATACAAAGAGTTAATATTTCCCGCTGTGTGCACCCTACCGCCATTGTCCCATAAGATCCATGAATTATCGGCAAATGTAAGAGCATTGAAATGACCTGGACGATGTAAGATATATGCCCAAATATTTGGACCCATGCCTGGCACCTGGTTTCGTGAAGCAGGTTGGAATTGTAGTCGCCTACCCATAAATGCCATAGACAGGACTATATTCACACCAGGTGTGGTACTGTCGTCCTCTGGGCAGACAGCACGGTGCTCTTCTTCTAGCCAGCGGACAACATCCGCGAAATCAGAAACCGTATAAGGGTTCCCATTGTAAGCAAGGAGACATACATTAATGGCATAGAACGCACAGCGGCCTCGCTGTAGCGCTATGATACCATCCGATTCCGCAGTTCGCATGGTAGGGGAGATTCGTTCAATTCTGCAGCTTGCACAGGTGGTGGAGACTCATTGTGGTCTTGACTATTTATGTCAGGTGCCTCCGGCTGTATTGAGTCTGTTGGCTTTAGTATGCGCTCCAAAGATAGATCTTCAGTCCAGAGCTCCCTCAGTAATCAGAAGACGGGTCATTCTCATTTGGGGCAGGGGAGCAAGCAGGGCTAGGTGGATGAGAGAGGGGCAGGTCAGGTGGGTAAAAAAAGGGTGGACCAGATGCGGGAAGCGGAAGCTGATCAGTCGCACTTGTGCACAGCGGCTGCCAGTCGTGCAAATGCTGCACAAGTAGCTGCACCTCGTTTCTGATGCACACGCAGGCCTGCAGCACTGAAGAAATCATTGCCACATTTTGGGCATCAGACTCGACATGTACTATTCCAGGCTAGCGTGTATTGAAGGCGATGATGTCGTTCCGAACGGTTCCGAGCATGCACACAGAGTCTGTCAAACCTGTCAGTCTTTTCAAACAGCAGTCCTTCAGTCATTCTATAGTTCGGTACTTTGAGTGGTGCAGTCTTTACCCTGTCAATCCGCTCGCTGTAAACGGGATTGTCAGTGTCCACAGCTTTGATCTGTTGCTGCAGTTGGGTACCTGCATCTACTCAGTGCATCAGCGACGACAGTGTATTTGCCTTTGACTGGTTCAGCTCAAAGTCAAATTGGTCTCTCTCCCCAGCCCACTTAGTCAACTTAGGTGTCATTCGGGCCTGGGTTTTCAACCAGCTTAGGGTCTCCTGATCAGAAGAGACTTCAACGTGTCTTCCTAGGAGGTACTTTCGCCAATGACTCGAGGCCTCTCTTCGAGGAAATACCTCTTGCTCATACGTCGAGGCAGTGACATTCTCATTAGGAAGTCTACACGACATGAACTCTACTGGCCTATACCCCTCTCCATCATTCTGTTGGAGTACGGCGCCAATCCCGTACTGGCTTGCATCAGTAGTGATAATGAATGGAAGTGATGGGTCTGCAACTTTCAGGACCGGATACTCAATCAGCGACTTCTTCAATTTCAGACGCTTGTGCAGCGGTGCAGCTATCATATTGAAGTTTCAGACGAACTTCAGATAGGAATTAGTTAATCCTGGGAACGACCACAGCTCGAAATCCTAGGAACGACCACAGCTCGAAATCCTAGGAACGACCACAGCTCGAAATCCTAGGAACGACCACAGTTCAATCAACGTGTGAGGTGTTGGCCAATCCCACATTGCTGTCTTCGCAGCTTCCAGTCTGACACCATTTCCATCTAACACATGGCGGAGTTGGCCAATCCCGAATTGTGGTTATCTTCGTAGCTTCCAGTTGGACACCATTTCCATCTAACACATGGCCTAAGTAGATCACTTGAAGCTTTGCCCATTCACACTTTTCCGAATTCAATTTAAACATGGCTGATTGCAGCTTCTCAAGGATCAAACGCAGGTGCTGTTGGTGCTCTTCTCACGTTTTGCTAAAAACTAGAATATCATCTAAGAAAACGACTACAAATTCGTCTAACCACTAGCGAACGAGTTCATTCATGCATCTTTGGAAGGTAGCAGGGGCATTAGTCAGGCCGAACGGCATGAGCACAAACTCGTAGTGGCCGTAGCGGGTTCTAAAAGTTGTCTCATGCTCGGGCTGTACCTCTATCTGCTGGTACCCTGATTTTCAGTCTATTTTTGAAAATTACTTACATCCCTGTACGCTGTCCAACAGATCATCTATCCTACGCAACGGCTTGGTGTATCACACCTTGTAGTCAATGCAGATGCGCAGTTCGCCTTCCTTCTTAGGCACGAATAGGACCGGTGCGCCATACGTCGACGGGCTGGGCTTAATCCACCCCTTATCTATTAGTTCATCAAACTGCTTGCACAGCTCATCGAGTTCCTTGGGAGACATTCGATAGATGGGCCCCTTGGGAGTCTTGCTGCCGGGTTCGATCTCTATCCGGTGTTTAATCTCTCTCCCCACTATGCCCGTTAGGGCCTCTCCCACATCAGTGAACTCTTTCAACAATCTCTAGACTGCGGGTGGTATTGTTTCATCCCCCTTTTGGCTCTCACTAACCGGTCTAACATACGCCACAAAAACTTGGTAAACCAATTGGCTGTGACCACATGCCTGGCGAATGCAGGGGCACTCATACAGCAAAGGGACAAACTTGA